TTCAGATATTTTTCGTTTTCTTAAAATGGCCATAACTTGAAATATTTAAGTTGGAATGAGCTCAAACTTGCTACACAGCATAAGGGCATCAATATGTATCAGAAAATGTAATAAAAATTTGGGTTGATTTCGGAGCCATTTTTTGGAAAAAACCATGGGCTATAGCCTTGGGTATTTTTCAGATATTTTTCGGTTTCTTAAAATAGCCATAAATTGAAAAATGGAAGTCAGAATCAGCTCAAACTTTCTACACAGCATAAGTACATCAATATGTATTAGAGCTGTGAACCTGGGCCACTTAGCATAACCGGTTAACTGGTCACCAATAACTGACGGTTAATCGGTTAACTGATTGTTAAATGAAACTTAATAATACCACTATAAATAAGTAAGAATAGCAAGAATTACGATAAATAATAAATTGTAGGGTTTGATTTAGTTGGCCAACACAACTTATATGCTCTTTTCAATGATATATGGCATTGTCTTTTGGGTCACAAAGGTCAATTTACTAGATATTGGAAGTGTTCTTGCCTGAAATATGATAAATTTTAACTTCACAGTGCATAAAATCATTAATTTCATAAAACCGGTTATAGCTAAAAATAACTGATAACCTAAAATTATGCTGTAACCAGTCGGTTAACCGGTTAACCTAAAACCGGTTCACAGCTCTAATATGTATCAGAAAATGTAATAAAAATTTATGGGTAATTTCAGAGCCATTTTTCAGAAAAAACCATGGGCTATAGCCTTGAGTATTTTTCAGAATTTTGGCGTTTTCTTAAAATGGCCGTAACTTGAAAAATTGAAGTCAGAATCAGCTCAAACTTGCTACACAGCATAAGGACATCAATATGTACAAGTACATGTACCATTAGTTACATAGTCTCAATACTGTATGTATTAATATGTATAATACTGACCACTCCCAACAGATACAGGCCCCCTCCCACTATCACTGCACTAATGGCAGTACCCAGTACTGCAAATATAACAATGGACCCTAAATTCTGAAAGAAATTACCCTAAAATAAATAGAAATAATAATAATAATAATAATAATTAATAATACATGTCCATTACCTTATGTAGTGAGTATCCTGATTCAAATATTATTGGAGGGAGAAGAACTAGAAAGAAGAACTGAGGATGGAGTGTTTCATGACCCTACACAATAACACAATGATAATATATATACACCGTACATGAGTATCAGGGAATGTGTATTACTAATGGAGGATTCTCTCCTAGTCATTTAGAGTGAGGGTTGGTCCAATAGTTGATGGTCACTGGTTCAGTTAATATTGTGGAGTGTGTGGAATGTATAGAGGAGACTTACTCTGTAGTCATGACCACCAATGAAATAAGTAAAGATAAACATACCACCACCAACAAGGAACCCTAACAACAACAACAACAACAACAACAACAACAACAACATTATCAATACTAATATCTGTCCTCTCTCTCTCTCTCCTTACCCAGTATGACAAAGGCTATACTCTCAGGAAGATAATGGAACTCCATTTTAATTAATAAATGAACCATCACCACTGACAAACCTATTAATAATAATAATAATAATAATAATAATAATAATAATAATAATACACGTACATACATAATTATTCTAACTAAAGCTCATTTATTCTAATTAATGTCCATTATATTCTAATTAGTGCCCACCTAACAGTACCAATATAAAGAATATTGATATACTAGTGAGTGACTCCTCCTCTTCTGGTGGTCCCGTGGGAGGTATCCCCTCTGTAGTACCAGTAGTGGGAGGGGGAAGAGTAGGTGTGGCACTTGATGAGGGAGTGGGAGTGGAACTTGATGGGTGGAGCTTACTAGCAGTAGCGTTAACTGATGAATAACTACTGGTGGTAATTAGTGTGGGTGGGGCAGTAGAAGATAGTGAACCAGTTGAAGAAGTTGATACATAAGATACCGGAGGAGTATCACTGGACCCACTGCTACTGGTTGAAGAGTTAGTACTGGTAATAGGAGGGGAGAGGGGGATGCTACTGGTTGTCATGGTAACAGAGGGGATGTCCCCCCGTGTGTTAATGATGGAAGAGGGAGGAGGAGGAATAAAAGGAGAGAGGGAGGGGTAATGGGAGGAGGAGAGGGGGCGGGGCATTGAGGAGGATATTGTTGATACTGTTGGATAGCTACTATCACCATCTGATAATGGAGGAACTGATGGGATATAACCACTAATGGAGGGGGGGAGAGAGAGAGAGAGATTATTAAATAATATGACAATTAGTTTAAGAGAAGGACACTACGCCCAACTCTTGTCGATAGTCAGACGTCGGAGTGTTGGCCACAGTCAGTTGATGCTCCTAGTCTGCCTACCCGCCTAGACTTCTTTCCTGGCTATCCACCCAGCACCTCGCCCTCGACCCTCTTTTCACGACTCAGAGACACCAATTGTCGTCATACCATGTGACAATATAAACAAACTTTTACAACTACTGTGTTAGCATGAAAGCCGTGGTGAACAGCAGGCTAGGCAGTCCGGTCTTGAGAACCGGAACTGGGGGTTAAAACGTTTTTAATGGCCAAACTCTCACCTCCCTGCCTGCCTTAAAAAGCTGTTGTTACCAATATGGCTTGTACAGTTACATGTGTGCTGACACTAGATATACAGGGCCTATGATTATTATCTAACACAACTGGGCTTACCACTACATACTGGAAGGTATTGGTTTCTTTTCTCCTGGCACTATAAACTTAACATGTGCTTGACCATGTGCTTTTTAGGTGATTATTATTTATTAGGTGATATTATTAATTAAGGCTGGGTTTTGGTTTGGCACTTAATGAATTATTTATGCATTGACATGTACATGTAAACATATGCTCAGAGGGGGGAGAGAGAGAGAGAGAGAGAGAGAGAAAGAAAACCCCACAGGGACAGGGACAGATGAGGTCCCCACCCCTGTGGGGACCCCATCTGTTCCGCCTGGACCCGAAATACGTTGCTGATTTAACAGTA